ATGAGAAAGAGAAGTGGTCCAAAGACGCTTCCTTGTGGGACTCCTACTGTGATTGGTTGGGTGGAGGAGTTTGCATCATTTGCATACACATATTGAGTTCTGTTACTAAGTTATGATTTTAGGTAGTTGAGGAAGTGGCCTCTGATACCATAGTGCATTAATTTGGAGTACAGCAGTTCATGGTCGACTGTATCGAAAGCTTTACGTAAATCAATGAAAATGCCCAGCGGGACTTTTTTCTTTTCAAGTGCGGTATATATTAGTTCTAGCATGTGTATGATAGCGTCATTTGTGCTTTTATTATTCCTGAATCCAAACTGACAAGGGTTTAATATGTTGTGTGAGACGAGGTAGGAACTGATCCATCTATGAATTAATTTTTCAAAGATTTTAGAGATGGATCAAAATGGGATGATGCCTCAGGGAATAGTGTCGACACACTACCAGCAAAACCTGGTGGAAGCACTTATGTCCATACAGGGGTGAAAGATAGGGAGGAAACAGAAAAAAATAAATGCACCAGCAGCGAATGCAGCTACAATAAATTCTAGCAAACAGAATTACAATCTATGTAAATACTATGCCTTGGGTATCTGCAGGCACGGTATATCTTGTAAAACAAGTGGGACATGCAGTTTTGATCATTCCAAAAAATGCCGCACCCATATGACAACAGGAGAGTGCAACTTTCCCTCCTGTAACGTATTTCACCCAGAATCAATCCATGAAAGAAAATGCTATAACACATACTGCCAGGTATATCATCTAAAGGGGACTAGAAGACATAGACCAGCCAGACTATGGGAAACAAAAGAGGGGAGCCACAACCTTTCCAGGGACAGGATTCTTAGGGCCAGGAGGGAAAATGGATTGGCAAGAAATGACAATAATCCTACACCAACTGAAAACACTTCTAGAGCAGAGGCACGGACGTTGGTCTCTACTCTAGAAGAACAGATATTAGAGCCAGCAAACAAACCCCCCCTAAATTCCATCAATGCAACGACGTTTGTCTTTGCAAACATACAGGGTCTAAAGCCATCAAAAAACAACAAAATTCCTTACATCAAGGTACTGCTCACGGAGTCAAATGCAATGTTTGCAGCATTCACAGAGACCCACATAAAGGATCATTATGACAACGAAATATGGATTCCAGGTTATAACCTATTCCGATGCGACAGACTAAACAGGCAACAAGGGATGTTGGCCTGTATGTCACAGAGTCGCTCATTTGCACAGAACTACTAAACATCTCAAATGATGTAGTTGAAGTTTAGGCAGTAAAGACTGAGAACCAAAACCATGTCATTGTGGTAGTACACAAGCCTCCAGATGCAACTTTCCAGCAATTTCAGGAGCAGGTTGAGAAAATTTACCACTGTCTATAAAATCTCCCAACTCCTGCCCCCAAAATCATACTACTAGAAGATTTCAACTTGAGACACATAAAATAGAGGAGCATAGCAAACAATGTTTTAGCAGAGATCACCCCGGGAGGCAGCTCAGATGAAAATTCACACACACACGAACTATTAAATCTCTGCATCAAATTCACCTTTAACAGAAAATAGTAGAGCCTACAAGACTAGAAAATACGCTGGACCTCATCTTCACTAACAACGATGATCTGATATGTAATATAACTATATCAAAGACAATACACTCAGATCACAACATAATAGAAGTACAGACATGTATGCACAGGGCTCCGGACCAGCAAAATGTGAGCAGTCATGAAGGTCTCTTCACGAAATTCAATTTCAATAACAAAAAAATACAATGGGATCAAGTAAACCAAGTCCTAAATAAAACAAGCTGGGAAAATATCCTAAACAACATGGATTTGAACATTTGCCTTGAAAAAATTAATTCTGCGGTTCTTTGAGATCTGATCAAGACACATTCCATTAAGAAAAAAAAGAGAAAGTGTAAACTTAAAAGAGAGGGACGTTCCCTATACAGACGAAGGCGAAGAATCACAGAGCTGCTGAGTGGGGCCAATATATCGGAAATGCGAAGGGAAGCACTAGTCAATGAAATTGCGAATATCGAACTTAAGCTGAAGGAATCTTACAGGAGACAAGAATCACAGGAAAAACCAAAAGTCATGAAGTAAATTGAAAAAAAAAATCTTCTCTTATGCCAAATCTAAGGAAAAACAACACCCAGTATTGGCCCTCTTAGCGGATGGGACATACACAGATACAGCCAAGAATAGTGAGTACTAAGTCCAATATGACTCATGTTCAGCGAGCCATGCCAGACTAGGTCGACATCCAAATGAATTCTTATGACGAAACCAAAATCTGGTCATCTCAAATCTCGGGTATTATTCACTCCACAAAACTTGAAGAGGAATAAATGACTGTCATGCACTTTCCCAGCCCAGACTCATGACTCCGTGTTCATCAAGATTGCATAATCACTGCTGCCTTCAGTATTTTAAGGAGAGGAGCATGACACAGTGTATCCCACACACTTCTAAAAAACAAAACATGGCATCAATCTCAAAGGTGCAGTTATCAATTGCCAAAGAACTACAGACCGGATTCAGCCGGCTGTGGCTCGTATGTTGGTTTGCGTGCAGCCAGCAGCAACAGCCTGGTTGATCAGGCTCTGATCCACCAGGAGGCCTGGTCTCAGACCGGGCCGCGGGGGCGTTGACCCCCGGAACTCTCTCCAGGTAAACTCCAGGTAAAACCGATAGCACTAACGTCCCATACCATAAAAATCTTTGAGAGGGTTCTAAGAAGCAAGATCGCCAACCACCTAGATATCCATCAGTTACACAACAGAGGGCAACACGGGTTTAGAGCAGGTCGCTCCTGCCTGTCCCAGCTACTGGATCACTATGACAAAATCGTGGATGCTGTAGATGATAAACAAAATACAGATGTATATACAGACATTGTAAAAGCTTTCGACAAGTGTGACCATGGTGTAATAGCACACAAAATGCGGGATAAAGGAATAACAGAAAAAGTTGGTAGATGGATCTACAACTTCCTGACAAATAGAACACAAAGAATAATAGTAAACAGAGCAAAGTCCCTGGCAGCCATGGTAAAAAACTCTGTTCCACAAGGCACAGTACTCGCTCCCATTCTATTCCTCATCCTCCTTTCTGACATAGACAGATATGTAAGTCTCCGTGTCTTCCTTTGCGGATGACACCCGGATTACCATGGCAGTGACCTCTATCGAAGACACCGCGAGACTCCAAGCGGACATCAACCAAATCTTCAAATGGGCCACTCAAAACAATATGAAGTTCAACGAGGAGAAATTTCAACTACTCAGATATGGGAAACTGGAAGAAATTAAAAATATATCAGGGTATACGACAAATTCTAACCATACAATAGAGTGGAAAAGTAATGTGAAGGACCTGGGAGTGATAATGTCAGAGGATCTCGCTTTCAAAGACCACAGCAATGTATCTATCTATCTCATCCGCTAGGAAAATGATAGGATGGATAATGAGAACCTTCAAAACTAGGGATGCGAAGCCCATGATGATTCTCTTCAAATCGCTTGTGCTCTCTAGGCTGGAATACTGCTGTACACTAATGGCCTCCTACAAGGCTGGCGACATTGCAGACCTGGAGAGTGTACAAAGAACTTTCATGGCACACAAGTACGATAAGGCACCTAAACTACTGGGAACGGTTGAAGGTCCTTGATCTGTATTCCCTCGAACGCAGGCGAGAGAGATACATGATAATATACACTTGGAAGGTCCTGGAGGGATTGGTACCAAACCTGCACACGAAAATCACTCCATATGAAAGCAAAAGACTCGGCAGGAGATGCAACATTCCCCCGATGAAAAGCAGGGGCGCCACGAGTACATTGAGAGACAACACAATAAGTATCCGGAGCCCAAGACTGTTCAATTCCCTCCCAGCATACATAAGGGGGATTACCAATAGACCCATGGCTGTCTTCAAGAAGGCACTAAAGTCAGTACCTGACCAACCGGGCTGTGGTTCGTACGTCAGCTTGCGTGCGGACAGCAGTAACAGCCTGGTTAATAAGACCCTGATCCACCATAAGGCTTGGTCTCAGACCGGGCCGCGGGGGCGTTGACCCCCGAAACTCTCTCCAGGTAAACTCCAGTTTTGTCCCAGGATGCGACCCACACCAGGTCACTAACACCCAGGTCTTAAGGAAACACGTCCCTAATATTTTTCCAGCCGTACCGGAGGAGTTCCGAACCCCGGAGTGTGAGCTGAGTGCGCTACCGATCGAGCTACAGGACACATTTGGAGCAACAGTCATTATATTCATCATATTTTATTCCCATACTTGTACTAGCAATTTGTATAATTCTGTACACTTTATTATACATTCCTACTGTATAATCCAGCTATAATATATGATTGATTATATATCCATTATCCCAAAATATACTTAAATGTTTATTCTCATGTTATATATTTAGTAGTCTAAATCTTGCCCATGAGACTATGCATATACTACGTATACATGGAACTATGTATATGTGTACCTTTGTATGCACATATATAAGTATACAAGGCACAGTATGTGAGTGTAACTCTGTATACATATTGATGTGTGTATAAAACGCTTATTTAATGCAATTATACATTACCATGTATTAAGTATAACACTTGTATTAGATATTACGTATTCTTAGTACAGCGTGTTAGGAAGCTCGTGGGATCATCTGATGAGATCAGCTGATGGGATCAGCTGATGGAATCAGCTGATGGAATCAGCTGATGGTATCAGCAGAGAGGATCAGCTGATGGGATCAGCTGATGGGATTAGCTGATGGGGTTAGCTGATGGAATCAGCTGATGGAATCAGCTGATGGTATCAGCAGAGAGGATCAGCTGATGGGATCAGCTGATGGGATTAGCTGATGGGTTAGTGATGGAATCCCGCTGATGGAATCAGTGATGGTTCAGCAGAGAGGATCAGCTGAGGGATCAGCTGATGGATTAGCTGATAGGGACCAGCTGGACTGATCCGTCCTCTTGCTGGCATCCCTGAAGGAGAACCAGCTCCGCCAGGCACTCCTTCAGGAAGGCCTCTTGATCCTCCTTCGGGATCCTCTTCACGAAGGGATTGACAGCCTTGATCGCATCTGTAAAAAAGAGATTTAAAATTACAAATCCTCCCCTGGCGAGTTCACTTCCAATCTCTGCCAAACTGGGTGGAATAGGCCTTCTGATATTATAATATGTGCTAATCTATAATAATTATTATATAATTAGGCTGTTTTTTGACGATATGAATGTAAATCCTATCGATGTGTTTTTTTTTTTTTTTTTGGTACGTTGCTGGCTAGTTTCGTCTAGTGTGTGAACGGGTGTTCACTGCTAGCTAGACTGTCTATTGTGTGGTGAACTAGTGTTCGATACTAGCTAGTTTATCTAGTTGTGTTAACTAGTGTTCAATACTGGCTAGTTTGTCTAGTGTGTGGTGAACTAGTGTTCAATACTGGCTAGTTTGTCTAGTTTGTTGTGAACTAGTGTTCAATACTGGCTAGTTTGTCTGGTGTGTGATCTAGTGTTCAATGCTAGCTAGTTTGTCTAGTGTGTGAACTAGTGTTCAATGCTAGCTAGTTTGTCTAGTGTGTGGTGAATTAGTGTTCAATACTGGCTAGTTTGTCTAGTGTGTGATGAACTAGTGTTCAGTACTGGCTAGTTTGTCCTTGTTGTTGTTCTCCAGAGAGAGGAACAGTATATTGTAAGCGCCTGGTGTTCTTGTTCCATATTTATTACTTATGTTTAACTAAAGTGATTTATCAAATATAGAACCATAATTTATTATTGTTCTCTCTCTCTCTCTCTCTCTCTCTCTCTCTCTCTCTCTCTCTCTCTCTCTCTCTCTCTCTCTCTCTCTCTCTCTCTCTCTCTCTCTCTCTCTCTCTCTCTCTGGTCTCAACTTTCTCTCACACTTACTCTTCAGATAGTTAATGTTATCGAAGACAAACTCCAGCTCTGGGGCCTCACAGGAAAGAATCTGGAATCCCACGTCTTCAGCCAGGTCAGCCATGACCTGGGCTGGGTCAGTCTTGTCTTGGTACACGGAAATATAGCTTTTCACGTCCTGTACGAGAATAACACGAGAAAATAACAACAGAGAACTATAATGTAAGAACATACGTAATGAATTACTGCTACTGAATAATAATAATAATAATAATAATAATAATAATAATAATAATAATAATAATAATAATAATAATTTTTACAGGTACGTGAAGCAAAGTATACAGACCATATTTGACATCAGTAACACGATATAGAAGGCCCCTTGTTCTGTGGAGCATTCCAGGCAAATTAGGTTAATTTTATCCCTATGATGCCACCCATACAAGTCGACTAACACCCAGATACCTACTTACTGCTAGGTAAACAGAGACAGCAGGTGTAAGGTGACTAACACCCAGGTACTTACTTAGTGCTAGGCGAGCAGGGACAGCAGGTGTAAGGTGACTATCGCTCAGGGTGCCTACTTAGTGCTAGGTGAACAGGGACAGCAGGTGTCTTAAGGAAACATGCCCTAATGTTTTCACCCATACCGGTGATCGAACCGCGGACCTCAGTGTGTGAGCTGAGTATGCTACCAACCCAGATCTGTTTATTCAGCTCTCCAAGTGGTTAAAGTATTGAGCCTGCAACGTACAGGGAACAAGGTTCGTATCACTGTTCATTCTTCTCTTTATTCATGACTAAGTGGGTTTACATAACTAGGAAAGCAGATACAATCCGGTCGCTGCTCGATCTGAAAAAGGTATCCCCGTATTCCATAACCCTAGCCCTATCTACCTCAACCCACGTGGAAGACGTGGCGATTGTCCCTCCAAACCCATAAAAGACCCAGGCGTTAGAGCATAACACTTACGTCTACCAGAAGGACCAGGAACTGTATATCAATACCCTCAAGAGGGCCAGGAACTCTAAGAATCCTAGCCTTCTAGTAAGTAGCATACGTCAGCAGCTAAGGTTTGAAATCGATCAGTAGAATCATTCTCCAATTATCACAGAGAATCCAGCATCACATTTTGTTTAATAAAATTGGCAAATTAGAACTGACACTACCCATTAACACTGTGGATCGTCCTTAGAGGAAGATACATCAATGGAAAAATTTGAAGCCGACTACATAAGGCATTCTCAAGCTTCCACACATGGAAAAACGTACCTTGTATTTTTCACGGTAAAATTAGCTGGAACGGTTCACAATACCATTGATGGAACAATTCACAAATATTGCGTATAGAAAAGGAACCTTAGGTGACATGACAACGGTCTAGGAGGGACCGAAACACAGTCGTAAGATTCCTTCCTTAAGAGCGGGTTCCTTTGTAAATCCAGAGTCCTATACAAAGATTACCGGCTGTAGCATGGCCGTTCGAAAGTGTAATAATACACGCGGCCATGGTGACACTCTACGGACATCGTCCGCCACTGTGACTGGATGTCTAGTGGATCCGGTCTCCTACTTACATCTCGGAAACCAATTGACCGATCGTAATGAAACTCGCACAAGATATTATCTAGTATGTGATATATACTGGACCGCAGTAATGTACCTGCTGCCAGCAGTGTTAAGACTCATGTTCTGGTACATAACAAAGAGTGGGTACCTACTGACCTTCATGTACTGCTGCCAGCGGGTCTTAAGACTCATGTTCTGGTACATAGTGAAGAGTGGGTTCTTAGCGAGGAAGACCAGCAAGGCTTCGCCTCCAGGCTGTAGGAGCTGGTAGATGTTGTTGAGGCACGACCTTTGTTCCTGGACCCAGTGTAGGCAGTAGAAGGAAAACACCTGTGGGAGGAGAACACATCTGAACACCTGAGGAAGAACACCTGTGAACACTTGAGGGAGAACGCCTGTGAACATTGAGGGAGAACACCTGAGAAAGAACACCTGTGAACACTTGAAGGAGAACACCTGTGAACACCTGAGGAAGAACACCTGTGAACACTTGAGGGAGAACACCTGTGAACACTTGAGGGAGAACACCTAAGAACACCTGTGAACACTTGAAGGAGAACACCTGTAAACACCTGGGGAAGAACACCTATGAACACTTGATGGAGAACACCTGTGAACACTTGAGGGAGAACACCTGAGAACACTTGAGGGAGAACACCTGTGAACACTTGAAGAAGAACGCCTGTGAACACTTGAGGGAGAACACCTGTGAACACCTGAGGGAGACTATCTGTAAACACCTGAGGAGGAACACCTGACGAGAACACCTATGAACACCTGAGGGAAAACACTTGTGAACACCTGAGGGAAAACACCTGTTAACACCCGGGGGGAACACCTGTGAACATCTGAGGAAGAACATCTGTGAACACCCGAAGGGAACACTTGTGAACACCTGAGAGAGGACACCTATGAATAAGTGAAACTCGTTTAAGTGTAACTTAGTGAGTGTTAAAACCTGATGGGTCACACAACACTAGGGATGAAGGAGGTCAGAGTCAGTCCTGGAAATGGTAAAGTGTAGCTCCAGTGCCCTGGATCGAGAGACTAGGTGAGCCACTCACCTTGAACCCATCAGGTGAGCCACTCACCTTGAACCCATCAGGTGAGCCACTCGCCTTGAACCCATCAGGTGAACCTGTCGTAGGGGTTCTTAAAGGAGATTTGAGGGTTGAAGGTAGACACACTAGTTGGATGGTAACGATATATATTGTCAGACTGTGATAATGGGAGATGGAGCCCAGCCTGCCGTGTCACTGCCTAGCTGGATGTTATATGCCGACTGAGGCCTAGGTAGCTAGCCTCACACTCAAGCTGTATCACGTGACGTCATACAGTCACAGGCCTAAGGGATCTTCTATATAAACACATGGATGATACTATAATGCTCAGTTAATCTATACAACACATGTAAGGGGATTCAGCAACTATGCTGACAGCTCGGTCATGTTACGTAGGGTCATCTCGACATACACTACTATCCTATAGGCTGAACCGGCAGGGGTTCTGGGCTGATTCTATACAATAACAAATTCATATATAACTTAGAACTAATGGATGGTATCATAATTGATGTTAAAATGAGTTTTACGTAATGGGTGTTAACGCAAACACTTTTAACGTAATGCATTACAAACAATAAGAACAATTCATTGTACAATAGGGAATGAATTGACCCGATCGATCTGTATTCATGCACTCTACGGATTCTGAGGAAGAATAAATATATATATATATATACAAGGTGAAATTAACAGCAAAGGCATCTGGTGCACTCAGATCATTACTGTCAAATTCTCAGAACACGGAGGGAACGTGAATACGAAAAAAAAAAATTCTGAAAAACTAATCAGTTAATAACAAACAGTTGACAATTTACTTCATCTCGGACATCTAGCTATACAGACTATGTACATTTAAACCCAATACTGCGAGGGTGAGATTTACATATGCAGAATGGTTATCTCTCTGGGAGGATCGAATTCCCTGCAATGGCTAACAAAATGCCTTGACTGAGGAGATCTGAACGAGTATCTACAAAAGATACTTGTGGGTTTCTCATTACTCTTGTCGAGTACGCAAGGAGTAACAACATTCAGGTTGGTTATCTGACTGAGTATTTGAAGTAGAGGGTACAGAGTCAAGAGGATTTTCAGCATCTGTCACATTAGTCTTGTAGCAATATCATCAACATTGCATACTAATTTCATATAAATCTAAATGCGATTCTTGACTTACCAGTAAAAAATTTCCCTAACCTTATACCTATTGCCAGAGATATGTTCTACAACTCGATAAGGGCCAACAAACTTTTGATCGAGCTTAGGCATTGTGGATTTTTTTATTGAAATTTGTCAGCTTTACTCTCGAACCTACTTGACTTTTGATGGCTTAGCACGGCTATTAGTTACTCTAGAAAAATTCTGCTGTTGATTTATAAAGTGTTTTAAACGGATTCCTCTAAAAACACTTTGAGCCTTTGCTGGTACAGTTGCTACGAAATCATCAGGGATGAATTAGGTTTCGGAGTGGAATATAACAACTTATGGGGAAACGCTTGTCTACACCATACAATGCATAATGTGGAGTATCACCTATGGAAGCATTGTAAGCAGAATTTATGGCACATTGAACATCTGGTATAACTTCACCCCAAGTTTCACTATTGGGGTTGATAGTGGCTCTCAGGACATCAAGTACTTTCTTATTGGTTCGTTCGGCTAACCCATTGCTGGCAGGATGATGAGGAACAATGGTGGATTTAGAATCTTGTACAAAGTACAAAAATTTTTCAAGAATCTCATTACAGAATTCACCTCCATTATCTGTTAATAAGGATTTAGGGGGGGTATGCCTGCAGATAATGGTCTTTTTAAACGCTTTAACTACTGTCTCAGCAGTCTTAGCAGTCTTATCTGCAATAGGAACTAACTCACAATATCTGGTGAAATGGTCTACCATAACACACAGATGTTTGTTCCCTTTGGAGGAACTTTTTAAAAATTTGGTTAATAAATCAAGGTCAACTCTTTCCCACGGTTCGCTAGTGGTTGGGTACACTTGGATTGGATTAGGACCATTGACATTTCCCTTATGTTGCATACAAACACTACATTTCTTAACATACTCTGAAATGTCAGTTGCCATAAGTGGCCAAAAGTATTTCATTCTGGCTTGTTTCACAGAACGATCCATACCAGGGTGTACAGCACCTGGTGCATCGTGAACTAGCTGTAGCGCTACGTTTACTAGTGACTGTGGAATTACTAACTGGTAAACTCTTCTGCTTGGAGTACCCAACTCGGCTGTTCGATACAGTAATTCTTGACTCATTACAAAGTCACTAATGGGTGTTGGTGGCTTCACAGTCAGAATAAGATCTTCCTGGAGCAGGAATCGAATCACCAGAACACAAGGGATCCTTGAACCCATCAGGTGAATCACTCACCTTGAACCCATCAGGTGAACCACTCACCTTGAACCCGTCAGGTGAACCACTCACCTTGAACCCATCAGGTGAGCCACTCACCTTAAACCCAGCAGGTGAGCCACTCACCTTGGTAAAACCATCAGGGAACACCTGGCGTGGTTGTACTGCTCTTTCTATGTCCAGTTGATGGAAGTTGATGGAGTCGTGATGGAAGGTCTTTGAGGCGTAGGTGACCATCTCCTGAGACAAGTCCACTCCCACCACCTGTTTCACCTGGGGCAGCAGGGGAACCAGCAGGTTCCTCGTCACGTCACCTGGGGGGGGTAAAGATTAGGTAAAAGGTGTGACAAAGCTCATGGAACAGGGAGAGTGACCTAGTAGCGACCAGGACCTGTGACTCGACCCTTGCAACCACAAAGAGATGAGTACAAATAAGTGAGTATACACACACACACAAACTGAAGTTGTTTGGTGTAAAGAAGATTAGGTTCTCTATACTGAGTCAAGAACTGACTTAGGATCTGCTCAGCTTTTTAATAACTCATTTAATGACTACACTAATTGGACCATGTGCAACAGTTGGGTATCTTTATTGCTGAAACGTTTCGCCTACACGGTAGGCTTCTTCAGTTAAATGCAGAAGCAGCAGGTGTAGTAGTGAAATGAAGCTGATGTAATCAGTCCTTCATCAACTATGGAGAAGATAAGATAAGATAAGATTTCGTTCGGATTTTTAACCCCGGAGGGTTAGCCACCCAGGATAACCCAAGAAAGTCAGTGCGTCATCAAGGACTGTCTTAACTTATTTCCATTGGGGTCCTTAATCTTGTCCCCCAGGATGCGACCCACACCAGTCGACTAACACCCAGGTACCTATTTGCTGCTAGGTGAACAGGACAACAGGTGTAAGGAAACGTGTCGAAATGTTTCCACCCGCCGGGAATTGAACCCGGGCCCTCCGTGTGTGAAGCGGGAGCTTTAGCCACCAGGCCACCGGGCCTGGTATTTGAGGTGGTCAGTCCCTCAGCCTGGAGAAGAGTTTAGTTTCATGGTCTGGAACGATATCGTTCCGGAACATGACGTCATTGTACCTATTTCCACTGGGGCCCTTGTACCTATTTCCATTGGGGCCCTTGTACCTATTTCCATTGGGGCCCTTGTACCTATTTCCATTGGGGCCCTTGTACCTATTTCCATTGGGGCCCTTGTACCTATTTCCATTGGGGCCCTTGTACCTATTTCCATTGGGGTCACTGTTTTGGTAGTTGAGGCAAGAATGCCTGGCAATGTATGAGTTCAACACAGGGAGATATCAACAAAGAGGGAGATCACACAAGGGTTAACCCCTTCCCCCCAGGGGTTTAATCCTTGTGTGTGTGTAAGTAATTCTGTATTTACTGACCTGAGCCACAACCTACGTCGAGTACTGTCTCTCCGTCCTCCTTCCACTCCATCTGTGGTAAGTACTCCGAGAGTACCAGAAGGGCATCCCTTCGCTGCAGTCCGTTGGCTGACACGTAGAGCTGCGCATCCTCCATTCTGTAGGTCACACCAGGTCATCACCACGTTATCACAAAGAAAAAAATCATGCGTATCACCATGTCACCAGGTGACATGGTGATATACATGGCACTAGTTGACCGTGTTGACTAGTGTTGACACGGCCAAATCACAGTGTCAACACAATTTTTTTCGAAAGATTTAATCAATATTATGGTTTACGTTGGGCTCTAAACCCGTATGGGTCATTCGGCAGAGTGATGGAGTATCGATACTCCGTCTAGTAAGAGCTAGTCACACATGCTATTCTAGATTTACTCACCATCAATGCCTGTCAGAAAAAGGCCACCTGTCTATAAATTTTTATAGTTCTGTATCTACATATTGATAAAACTATACAAAATATTAACTATGATGAATGAGTAATTTCAATGGAGTGATGGAATTCGAACCTTAAGGGGGTACGTTAGTTCCCCTGTTTTCTATGTTATTTTTCCTCTGTAAATTATTTCTCCGGAGCATTAAGAGGCGCGGGAGTTCCCCTGTCTCCTAATATCATGTTTATTTTTCCCCTGTAATCTACCTCGTCCAAAATTACTATCACATTTGCTTTGTCTGCTCTCGTAAGGCGAAGTCCAGGATCTTTACTTAATTAATGGTATAAATTAACAAATCTCTGAGGACAATTGTGCTGGAGATATCTGAGCAAAGATCACTTGCGCAATACAATTAACAAATCTTTGTTGACAAGTTATACCATGAATTAAGGAAAGATCCTGGATTTCATCTTACGAAAGCAGACAAAGCAAATGTGATAGTAATTATGAACAAGGTAGATTACAGGGGAAAAATAAACATAATATTAGGAGACAGGTGAACTCCCGAGCCTCTTAATGCTCCGGAGAAATAATTTAATTGTTTAATTGTAAATCTTCAGCACTGATGCTTCTGAAGTGGACTCGCTGGATATCCCAGTACTGGGTTCTGTGTACTTTTGTAATGTCATATGGATGCCAATGTTATTTCTATGGTAATGGTGGGAGAGTTCTTTCTTTTTTTTTTCTATGGTTACCTGGGTTTAGCTGTTGAAGGTCAGAAATGAGATGATTCCTCACAGGAAATCAGAAAATTCTTTGCTGGTCTTCCGTTCTTGAACGTGACAAATTAACTTCCGTCTCTGAGCTTTTTCCAAGAAACCTTTCAGGCAACTGGTCACCAAACTGGGCTGCTCCTGCGGAATTTAGGAAGGTTTGGAAAGACTGGTGTATCAGGTACCTTTGCAGGGCTCCTTTGGCTGTATTTAACTAACCGTTCCAGGGGATTCTTTGTCTATGTTGACGAGAAACCTGACTCGGTTGAACAACACGGACTTCCAAAATTGAGAAAAGAAATTTTTAGACAACGCAAACGAGCTAGTCAGTTGCGGTCGTTCTGAAGTGAGGAAATCTGCCTTGAAGGCAGAGAGGAGATATGGGTTTACGAAGGTAGAAAGCGAGATGGTCCTGGAAATGAGAAAGCCAGGAATTTGGTTCTCGAAGTCAAAAGACGAGGTTAGTCCTCGAAGTCAGAAAGGGAGGAACTAGTCCTCTTGGAGGAGAGAGGAAGCCACCTCAGCCCAGCCCTAACACTAGTCTACCTCTGTCCCTTCGCTATCATATATACCAGAGTCTGGAACAACAAGAGTACGCCCTCCATTGTTGCACGCCCCTTTGTTGCACGCTACCCATTGTTGCAGGCCTTCCCTTTCTGTCCACTGGCTGTTGACCACAAGTCCTTCGACTAATACACAGACAATACACAGCACCAGTTTGGTGTATGTGATAAAATGATAAGCTGACGCTGCCAGCTCTGGTACAAGACCATAGGATCGACAGCAGTAGCTTCCATATAGGATATACACACTGTGAACCCTCAGTGTATATATACACTGTGAACTCTCAGAGTATATATACACTGTGAACCCTCAGTGTATATATACACTGTGAACCCTCAGTGTATATATACACTGTGAAAACCCCCAGTGGGATATATACACTGTGAACCCTCAGTGTATATATACACTGTGAACCCTCAGTGTATATATACACTGTGAACTCTCAGTGTATATATACACTGTGAACCCTCAGTGTATATATACACTGTGAACCCTCAGTGTAATAAAACACTGTGAACCCTCAGTGTATATATACACTGTGAACTCTCAGTGTATATATACACTGTGAACTCTCAGTGTATATATACACTGTGAACTCTCAGTGTATATATACACTGTGAACTCTCAGGTATAATACCAGAGTCTAATCACTATTTTAAGTATTAAAGTATTCTTGATTGTAGTGTACAGATGACGTGCGCCCTTCCAGTGACAAGAAAATTGGTTGAAACAACAACAAAATAATAATAATAATAATTTAAAAATAATAATAATAATAATAAAATAATAAAAATAATAATAATAATAATAATATATTATTATTATTATTATTATTATTATTATTATTATTAAATTTTTATAATAATAATAATAATATAATAATAATAATAATAATATTATTATTATTATTATTATTATTAAATTTTTATTAAATTTTTATTTTTATATTATTAATATTATTATTATTAAATTTTTATTATTATTTTATTATTATTATTATTATTATTATTATTATAATAATAATAATAATAATAATAATAATAATAATAATAATAATAAAAATGAAATAATTATTATATTTTATAATTATTATATTATTATTATTATTATTATTATTATTATTATTATTATTATTATTATTATTATTATGTTGTCAGGAGCATTAGGGTACATGACGAGGATTAAGCTGCATGCTAGGCGCCTAGTGCCTAGTATTACTAATTTATGTATCTAACTTAAGTCGTAAATCGCAAGTCAGGTTTATCAGTGTCGTTGAGAATGATGGTTCCTTCCAGTGTTGTGGAATCTGTGGCTGCATACCATGGTTGTTTACTTTATGTATGATTGTAGAGCGCTTTGGTTAACTTGAAAAATGAGTTGGGGAATTGGGTGAGTGGAACGCGCGCACACACGCACACACACACACACAAAACACACACACACACACACACACACACACACTCACACACACACACACACACACACATACACACACACACACACATACGCACACACACACACACATACATACAGGAGCTCGGACTCGACCCCTGCAAGCTCAACTAGGTGAGTACACATATACACACATATATACGTACACATACACACACAGTTTGAGGGTTCCAGTTTGGAACCCTCACCTAGCCAATCACGTAAGGAAGCTAGAGAAAGTGCAAAGGTTTGCAACAAGGCTAGTCCCGTAGCTAAGGGGTATGACCTACAAGGACAGGTTAAGGGAAATGACCTGACGACACTGGAGGACAGGAGAGATAGGGGGGATATGATAACGACATATAAAATACTGAAAGGAATCGACAAGGTGGACAGAGACAGAATGTTCCAGAGATGGGACACAGCAACAAGGGGACACAGTTGGAAGTTAATTAAAGCCGCAGATAAGTCAGTGATGTTAAGAAGTAATTCTTCAGTCACAAGAGTTGTCAGGAAGTGGAATAGTCTGGAGAGTAATGTAGTGGAGGCAGGATCCATATATATCTTCAAGAAGAGGTGTGATAATTTCATGGAGCAGGAAGAGAGTGGACCTAAAAGCGACCAGTGAAGAGACGGACCCAGGAGCTATGACTAGACCACAAATAGACACACACACACACACACACACACACACACACACACACACACACACACACACACACACACACACACACACACACACACACACACACACACACAAACGAGGTATAGTGTCGTGAGGAGGTAACGTGTGTGGTAATGTGATTTTTATTATTATTAAAGATTCGCCGGTATTCTCCCGGCCCGGGCCTTGTCCAAGTGGTGGCCCGGCCTTGGCTCCCTCTTTAGGGACTGTCTGAGACCTAAGTCTCCCATGGGAGGAGGCACAAGTACCTCCTCATCTTTGGGACCAACTGTCCCCAGGCCTAGCCACAAGCTAGGCCTCTATGGTCTGCCATCCCCGCCCCAAGGGGCCTAATGGGAATGACAGTCTTGTGAGCTGCAAGCTCCGGCTCAGGCACCTACCCTACCCTAGAAGGGCTGGGCATGGTGTCGATGTATATAATGTTGTGATATGTGGTAATGTTGTGGTGTGTGATAATGTTGTGGTGTGTGGTAATGTTGTGGTATGTGGGTAATGTTGTGATGTGTGGTAATGTTTTGGTGTGTGGTAATGTTGTGGTAAAGTGGTAATGTTGTGATGTGTGGTAATGTTGTGGTGTGTGGTTAATGTTGTGGTATGTGGTAATGTTGTGATGTGTGGTAATGTTGTGGTGTGTGGTAATGTTGTGGTATGTTGTAATGTTGTGATGGTGGTAATGTTGTGGTGTGTGATAATGTTGTGGTGTGTGGAATGTTGTGGTATGTGGTAATGTTTTTTGATGTGTGGTAATGTTGTGGTATGTGGTAATGTTGTGGTATGTGGTAATGTTGTGGTGTGTGGTAATGTTGTGGTATGTGGTAAATGTTGTGTGTGTGGTAATGTTGTGGTATGTGGTAATGTTGTGGTGTGTGGTAATGTTGTGTGTGTGGTAATGTTGTGGTATGTGGTAATGTTGTGGTGTGTGGTAATGTTGTGGTATGTGGTAATGTTGTGGTGTGTGGTAATGTTGTGGTGTGTGGTAATGTTGTGGTGTGTGGTAATGTGTGTGGTGTGGTAATGTTGTGGTATGTGGTAATGTTGTGGTATGTGGTAATGTGTGTTGTGTGGTAATGTTGTGGTATGTGGTAATTGTTGGTGTGTGGTAATGTTGTGGTATGTGGTAATGTTGTGGTGTGTGGTAATGTTGTGGTATGTGGTAATGTTGTGGTATGTGGTAATGTTTGGTGTGTGGTAATGTTGTGATGTGTGGTAATGTTGTGGTATGTGGTAATGTTGTGGTGTGTGGTAATGTTGTGATGTTGGTAATGTTGTGGTATGTGGTAATGTTGTGGTGTGTGGTAATGTTGTGATGTGTGGTAATGTTGTGATGTGTGGTAATATTGTGGTATGTGGTAATGTTGTGGTATGTGTAATGTTGTGAGTGTGGTAATGTTGTGATGTGGTAATGTTGTGGTAGTTGGTAATGTTGTGATGTGTGGTAATGTTGTGATGTGGTAATGTTGTGGTATGTGGTAATGTTGTGGTGTGTGGTAATGTTGTGATGTGTGGTAATGTTGTGATGGTGGTAATGTTTGGATGTGTGGTAATTGTTGATGTGTGGTAATGTTGTGGTATGTGGTAATGTTGTGGTATGTGGTAATGTTGTGATGTGTGGTAATGTTGTGATGTGTGGTAATGTTGTGGTGTGTGGTAATGTTGTGATGTGTGGTAATGTTGTGATGTGTGGTAATGTTGTGGTATGTGGTAATGTTGTGGTGTGTGGTAATGTTGTGATGTGTGGTAATGTTGTGTTGTGGTAATGTTGTGATGTGTGGTAATGTTGTGTGTGTGGTAATGTTGTGGTTGTGGTAATGTTGTGGTGGTGGTGTGAATGTTGTGATGTGGTAATGTTGTGATGTGTGGTAAGTTGTGGTATGTGGTAATGTGTGGGTGTGGTAATGTTTGTGATGTGTGGTAATGTTGTGATGTGTGTAAATGTGTGTGTGTGGTAATGTTGTGTGTTGGTAATGTTGTGGATGGTGGTAATGTTGTGGTGTGGTATGTTGTGAGTGTGGTATTGTGTGTGAGTGTGATGTTTGGTAATGTGGTGTGTGGTATGTTGGATGTGTGGTAATGTTGTGGTATGTGGTAATGTTGTGTATGTGGTAATGTTGTGATGTGTGGTAATTGTGTGATAGTGTGGGTATGTTGTGTATGTGGTAATGTTGTGATGTGTGGTAATGGTTGTGTGTGGTGGTAATGTTGGTTGGGTGTTGTGGTGTTGGTAATGTTGTGATGTGGGTAATGTTGTGATGTGTGGTAATGTTGTGGTTGTGGTATGTTGTGGTGTGTGGTAATGTTGTGATGGTGTGGTAATGTTTGATGTGTGGTAATGGTGTGGGTAATGTTGTGGTATGTATGTTGTCGATTGTGGTAAGTTTGATGTTGGTAATGTTGTGGTATGGGGTATGTTGTGTGGTGTGTGGGTGAGTAAGTGTTGTGGTGTGTGTAGTAATGTTGTGATGTGGGTAAATGTTGTATGTGTGGTAATGTTGTGGTGTGTAGTAATGTTGTGGTGTTACCTGGAGTTTACCTGGAGAGAGTTCCGGGGGTCAACGCCCCCGCGGCCCTGTCTGTGACCAGGCCTCCTGGTGGATCAGCGCCTGATCAACCAGGCTGTTGCTGCTGGCTGCACGCAAACCAACGTACGAGCCACAGCCCGGCTGATCAGGAACTGACTTTAGGTGCTTGTCCAGTGCCAGCTTGAAGACTGCCAGGGGTCTGTTGGTAATCCCCCTTATGTGTGCTGGGAGGCAGTTGAACAGTCTCGGGCCCCTGACACTTATTGTATGGTCTCTTAACGTGCTAGTGACACCCCTGCTTTTCATTGGGGGATGGTGCATCGTCTGCCAAGTCTTTTGCTTTCGTAGTGAGTGATTTTCGTGTGCAATTTCGGTACTAGTCCCTCTAGGATTTTCCAGTGTATATAATCATGTATCTCTCCCTCCTGCCTTCCAGGGAATACAGGTTTAGGAACTTCAAGCGCTCCCAGTAATTGAGTGTTTTATCTCCGTTATGCGCGCCGTGAAAGTTCTCTGTACATTTTCTAGGTCGGCAATTTCACCTGCCTTGAAAGGTGCTGTTAGTGTGCAGCAATATTCCAGCCTAGATAGAACAAGTGACCTGAAGAGTGTCATCATGGCTTGGCCTCCCTAGTTTTTGAAGGTTCTCATTATCCATCCTGTCATTTTTCTAGCAGATGCGATTGATACAATGTTATGGTCCTTGAAGGTGAGATCCTCCGACATAATCACTCCCATGTCTTTGACGTTGGTGTTTCGCTTTATTTTGTGGCCAGAATTTGTTTTGTACTCTGATGAAGATTTAATTTCCTCATGTTTACCATATCTGAGTAATTGAAATTTCTCATCGTTGAACTTCATATTGTTTTCTGCAGCCCACTGAAAGATTTGGTTGATGTCCACCTGGAGCATTGCAGTGTCTGCAATGGAAGACACTGTCATGCAGATTCGGGTGTCATCTGCAAAGGAAGACACGGTGCTGTGGCTGACATCCTTGTCTATGTCGGATATGAGGATGAGGAACAAGATGGGAGCGAGTACTGTGCCTTGTGGAACAGAGCTTTTCACCGTAGCTGCCTCGACTTTACTCTGTTGACGACTACTCTCTGTGTTCGGTTAGTGAGGAAATTATAGATCCATCGACCGACTTTTCCTGTTATTCCTTTAGCACGCATTTTGTGCGCTATTACGCCATGGTCACACTTGTCGAAGGCTTTTGCAAAGTCTGTATATATTACATCTGCATTCTTTTTGTCTTCTAGTGCATTTAGGACCTTGTCGTAGTGATCCAATAGTTTGAGGCAGACAGGAGCGACCTGTTCTAAAACCCATGTTGCCCTGGGTTGTGTAACTGATGGGTTTCTAGATGGGTGGTGATCTTGCTTCTTAGGACCCTTTCAAAGATTTTTATGATATGGGATATTAGTGCTATTGGTCTGTAGTTCTTTGCTGTTGCTTTACTGCCCCCTTTGTGGAGTGGGGCTATGTCTGTTTGTTTTTAGTAACTGTGGGACGACCCCCGTGTCCATGCTCCCTCTCCATAGGATGGAAAAGGCTCGTGATAGGGGCTTCTTGCAGTTCTTGGTGTGTGGTAATGTTGTGATGTGTGGTAATGTTGTGATGTGTGGTAATGTTGTGATGTGTGGTAATGTTGTGGTGTGTGGTAATGTTGTGATGTGTGGTAATGTTGTGATGTGTGGTGATGTTGTGGTGTGTGGTAATGTTATGGTGTGTGGTAATGTTGTGGTGTGTGTAATGTTATGGTGTGTGGTAATGTTGTGGTGTGTGGTAATGTTGTGATGTGTGGTAATGTTGTGGTGATGTTTGTTAAGGATCAACCGTCCCTTAATTATCTTGTTTATTTTATACAGACTTGACAATTACACTACTGAACTGCGTGTGTGTGTGTGTGTGTGTGTGTGTGTGTGTGTGTGTGTGTGTGTGTGTGTACTCACCTATTTGTACTCACCTATTTGTGGTTGCAGGGGTCGAGTCCTAGCTCCTGGCCCCGCCTCTTCACCGGTTGCTACTAGGCCCTCTCTCTCCCCGCTCCATGAGCTTTATCAAACCTCGTCTTAAAACTGTGTATGGTTCCTGCCTCCACTACGTCATTTTCTAGGCTATTCCACTGCCTTACAACTCTATGACTGAAGAAATACTTCCTACTATCTCTCTGACTCATTTGCGTCTTCAACTGTGTGTGTGTGTGTGTGTGTGTACTCACCCATGTGTGGTTGCAGAGGTCGAGTCTTACCTCCTGGCACCGCCTCTCTGCTGGCCACTACTGGGTTCACTCTCTCGACTGTGTGAGCCCTATCGTACGTGTTCTTAAAACTACGTATAGATCCCGCCTCCAGTACCTCACTGTCTATTTCGCCCGACTCCCTAACCACCGAAACCTTTGTGTTCTAAGTAAGATTGCTAATCACATGAGTAAGTTTAGATTCAGAAAGGACATATGAAAGGTGAATGAGTGAAACACTCTACCTAGTAGGGTTACTGAAGCTAAAACCTTGGGCAGATTCAAATTTAGATTAAACATACGTGAGTGAGAGGGGTTGGATTTGAGTGGGTCTTGCACTCGAGGTAATGGGTTATTAAAGGCTATTCCTTGAGTAACATTTAAAATGGGATGGACACATACTTTTGTTAGTGGGTTTGGGTTTGAGAAGTACCTGCCTAGTACGGGCCAGTAGGCTTGTTGCAATGTGCCTCCTTTCTTATGCTCCTATGAATCACAACGTGGGCTTAGAGAAGGTCACTCCTGCCTGTAACAACTATTATTATTATCATTATTATTATTATTATTATTATTATTATTATTATTTTTATTATTATTATTATTATTATTATTATTATTATTATTATTATTATTATTATTATTATTATTATTATTATTATTATTATTATTATTATTATTATTATTATTATTATTATTATTATTACATGGAATCTGGAAAAGCCTTCAATGAGAGTGATCCATGAGAGTGATAATATATCACAGGTTAGGCTAGGTAAGGATCGTCAGAAAACAAAACAAGTGTTTCCTGACCCGCAGCTGGAACTTTCGTCTTCTGACGGAGGCCTTTCACTGGCTTACCACTTTACATCTTTAAAAATTATGGTCATAGTTGTAACCACCTAGAGTCTAATAGATCACAGAATACGGTGCGAAGTATAATGGGGAAGGAAGTGAAAACAGAGGCTGGCATAGTGAAAATCTGTGTTCCCTGAGAGCACAGTACCAGCCAGTCTCCTCTCCCTTGGATGGGAAAATAAACACAAATGCAGTACAATGCGATCCTTTATTAACAACGTTTCGCTCTTGTTGATAAAGTCACTGGATGGCGAATCGTCTACAAATAAAGATACCCAGATGTTGCTCATGGGACTAATTCTCCATCGTCGGTGAAAATTAGACACATATCTAACATCTGGGTATCTTTACTGTGGACGTTTCGGCAACCAGTGGCTTTATCAATACAAATTCAAGGACATAACTGGAAGACAGTAGAACTATATACAAAAGATTAGGTAATCAGTGCCTCAGCCTTGGAGTTGGTGTGAAGAGCACCGTAGTCTTGAAGAGTCTGAAGCGCAGGAAGGAAGACTGGCGCTTATATACTGTTGTCAGGTGAGGGACGTGTAACAGGCGTAGACGTTGTCGCTGGTAGGTGGGATTACCCAACGGAAGTAGGTCATACCCGAGGGACGGGTTAGTGGTAGTGAAGAAGGTTGGTTCTGAGGACATCTCCACAACCTTCTTAACTTCTACTGACCCTGACTTATGGTCTGGAAAGATATCAATCGTTCCAGACCATGGAGCTGAACTCTTCTAAAGGTTGAGGGACTGACCATCTCGAATACTTTGTCTTTATTTCGTTACTACTGTTCCCATTGTGTTTGACTGAAGAAGACTACTGTGTAGGCGAAACATTTCGGAATAAAGATGACTAACGGTTGCACATGTGTTTTACTTCCCAAGGATATAATGGGACGACCGTAGAACTATATACAAAAGACGAGGTAATCAGTCCCTCGGCCTTGGAGTTGGTGAGGTGCGTTTCGATCCAATATATCTAATTCTCTGAGTATTTTGCATGTCGTGAACATGTCCCCTATGGTCATTCTCTTTCTCTTAGTGTTGTAAGAGCTCCTCAACTCTCTTCTTCACGTCCATCTCAGTTTTGGGACTAGTTTAGTTTTCTACCTTTAGATCTTTGTAGATAAATGCTTCGGAGACTCCACCTGGGTATCTTTAGATACACCTGTATCAAATTGGGTATCTTTAGATACACCTGTATCAAATTGGGTATCTTTAGATACACATGTGTCTAATTCAGATCTTTTCTAGTTTATGCGTTTGTGGTGTGGGCTGAAAGAAGGGGGCATAGCCCCCAGTAGGCGTGGTCTACCGTGGGCGTGGCTTCGTGTGGTGGTGGTGAGTGGGTGTGGGTGGGCCGTGGTGGGTCGGGGTGGGTCGTGTTAGGTCAGGGTGGGCGGCATCAGTGTGTCCAGAGAGAGAGTGTCGTACGGAGTCTTGCTGCTAGGAGACGCATCACTCTTTCCAGGACACCCTTCTCTTAGAGACGTTATTCCTGCTCCCAAACCTGACGTAAAATCACCATCGACCTCAACCATTCACCCCCTCAACCCAGGTGAGCCTACCAATCAACCATTCAATCTCTAACGACCTAACATTAACCCAAACACACAAAATCTCACTAACATCCCATTTCTTATTTAATCCCCAGTGACTCAAAATAGACAAATAAATCCCCCCATAACGTCCCAGATCTTCAATAAATGGTCCTTCCATTAAATGGCAGAGACCATATCAATGGTGCCATAGTGACTAAGGAAGAAATTGATTCGAGTCGAAAAGGTGACTATCAGAGGCGGCAGAGACCTGATTCAGTGCGTAGAAATATCGGCCAAAAAATGGCTTCGCTGAAAGGCCAATGAAAGGAAAAAGGGCACTGAAAAGTACAAAAAAGCTACGTTTTGCCCTTAAATGTGGCATTTTGAAGTGTTGGTGTAGGTACGAAAAAGGGTGAAACACCGTCTAGTGACTTGATTTACTTCTGATGTTTTTAAGTTACGGCTTCGTCAAGGGAAAGAAACATGGTTATGTGGAATACCATTTCGCCCTTTCAGCGGGCGAAACATCGTCCGAAATGTGTGTCCAGTCGTACAGTGGCTGGAACATTTCACAACTAACCCACACTACCAAGACTGGAACAATTCACAACTAACCCACAATACCACGACTACAACAATTCACAACTAACCCACAATACCACGACTACAACAATTCACAACTAACCCACAATACCACGACTACAATAATTCACAACTAACCCACAATACCACGACTACAGCAATTCACAACCAACCCACAATATCGTTACTGGAACAATTCGTAAGTGGGGACCCTCATTATGGAACACAGGTCAAGTACTGAACACTGACTTCTCACCAACTAGGGTTCTAGGGGAAGTAACTGTCTCCCTATGTAAGCCACACTGTGTACTGGCGCCCTATGTAAGCCACACTGTGTACTGTCTCCCTATGTAAGCCACACTGTGTACTGTCTCCCTATGTAAGCCACACTGTGTACTAGCGCCCTATGTTAGCCACACTGTACTGTCGCCCTATGTAAGCCACACTGTGTACTGTCTCCCTATGTAAGCCACACTGTGTACTGGCGCCCTATGTAAGCCACACTGTGTACTGTCTCCCTATGTAAGCCACACTGTGTACTGGCGCCCTATGTAAGCCACACTGTGTACTGTCTCCCTATGTAAGCCACACTGTGTACTGGCGCCCTATGTAAGCCACACTGTACTGTCGCCCTATGTAAGCCACACTGTGTACTGTCTCCCTATGTAAGCCACACTGTGTACTGCGCGCCCTATGTAAGCCACACTGTGTACTGTCTCCCTATGTAAGCCACCTGTGTACTGGGGCCCTATGTAAGCCACACTGTGTACTGTCTCCCTATGTAAGCCACACTGTGTACTGGCGCCCTATGTAAGCCCCCACTGTGTACTGTCTCCCTATGTAAGCCACACTGTGTACTGGCGCCCTATGTTAGCCACACTGTACTGTCGCCCTATGTAAGCCACACTGTGTACTGTCTCCCTATGTAAGCCACACTGTGTACTGGCGCCCTATGTAAGCCACACTGTGTACTGTCTCCCTATGTAAGCCACACTGTGTACTGGCGCCCTATGTAAGCCACACTGTGTACTGTCTTCCTATGTAAGCCACACTGTGTACTGGCGCCCTATGTAAGCCAC